TGTGCGCGTTCTCTCTTGGCTCCGGGAAGTTTGGAAGTGACTGTCCGGTGAATGTTTCTCGAAACGCCAAAGTGAAGACACTCAATCTTAAATGGGGTCTGTTGCTTCTTTTTGAGGCAAACCTGCTCTTTTGTTCTAACTCTTTTATGTGTTTTGGAGAAAAGAAGCTTACAACAAGACAAACAGACGCGCAGGTAACACTTATGCCCGAGTCCCACTAGAGCGACAAAGGGAAACAACCGACACCGACAAGCCTCAAACACCTGCAGGATGTACCCCAGGATATCTTTGGCAACCTTTCAGTAACTCGTGCATCCTGCACGAGCTCCGCGAGACTGCAAGCCTGTCAAATGTACCGCCGCGTGCACGCTGGACGTGTTTGCGGCTTCTCGGTGTCTGTTGTTTTCCGCTCTAGTGGGACTCCGGCATTGCGGTTCATGACAGTGTTGTTTTGTTGTAAGGACGTCTGACTGGTCCTTGGTACATGAGGTAAACAACAGCGCTTATGTACAAATACTTACATTAAGAACATCCGGCATCGTCTGCTAATGACCAGGCCTCAATAGTCCACCTCGTGCCTTCTTTTCCTCGGGATCCAGCTTTTAGTTCCTTTTCGTCGGGATGCCCGCTTCCATATAATAAGTTTCAACACTACCCCCCCCCTCCCCCCCCCCTCCCTCAGAACAAGAAAAGGTTAATATGCCGTTCTTCTTTTTTATTTCTTATTTATTTATTTATTTATTTTTTTTCAATTTGAAAGTTGAAAGAAAGGAAATTTTGTCATTATCCCAAAAGTTGTCGTTTCGTTTTCCCGGGTGGACGCGTCAGTACCTCGCTCTAATTTCTTCGTCGTTTAGGTCGTACTGTTTCCCGTCACGTTGACTATTTCTGTGGCATACAGAAAAAAAAAACATGTCTTGTGTGTATGTTTATACAGCCTGAAGTTATAGTCTGCCTCGACGAGCGACCTGTCTCTCAGCTGTAGATGGGCAATTTAGCCAGTGCGCGGTACAACCGCTAGCCTGGGGTCTTTAACGTGCACCACACAGTAGTGATGCACGACCGCACGCCAGTTCGATGCTCATCTAGATTGAAACGGGCAGGGTGGGATCCCTGGGTTCTGCAGCGCGAGCTTTCGCTCCACGTGCTCCAAGCTGGTGTGCGCTAGCCCACTTGGCCACCGATCACCACCCCCCCCCCCCCCCTCTTGTGGCATTCAGAGGTCATATCTTCTCTCACGTGATCTGGATAGAAAGACCGCCATTGGTTATTCCAGTGAAGCTTCAGGTCAACGTTACTAGAACACTCAGTTGGGAAACTCGCCGTCGAAACTTGGGCCGCTGGCGTCCACCGAGACCGAGCTAAATACGACAACACTCTTTATCATTTCTCTGTACTGTGGTCACCTCGAGCTTTTAGAAAGCATGTTTTTGCGTAAAAACAAACGGAAAAGACTTTTTTTGTATGAAATTGATTGGAGTTTAGTACCAAACGATGGGCGCGTGATGTTTTTAAAATCTTTAGGTTGCAGGGTTTTGCGGAACAATTAATATTGTTTTTATACTACCATGCCTCAGCGGTGCTTTCAGGTAGCGCGACCCGACCTAGGTGCATTTTAACTTCGGTAACAAGTCGCGGCGCGTCCGCTGGGAACCTCTTGCGCTGTATCTGTTTCGACTCCACAATGGCCGATTAAAGCCAAAATAGAAGTAACGTACAGTTCCTCGAGTGGCCGCTGCGGGAGAAATGGCGGCGTTGTGTTCGTCATTAGCTCGGTTCTGGAGGACAGATTGGGGCCACTTTTTCAGATTAGTCTCTATGGCAGTTTCCCAACTGAGTGTTTTAGTAACGTTTCTCCAGGTGAACCGGATAGCCTCGTCTATAGCAAGCACACGTGGGCGACAAGGCGCAAATTGTGTGATTTGCACTTCTTCTATTTTCCTTTATATTTCTTGTTGGTCGCTGAGGAATCGCCGCAATCTTTCGGCTTTTGCAAGTTTCTTGTTTATTTCAGCTTATCTGTAAGATCGTCGTTTATGTTGAAAGGGTGCTTTAAACTTTCTGTCAAGACGATACCTTCATTTATTTGGTGTTTCGCTTTGGCACAGTTCGGTTCCTTCTTCACTTCCTTGCTCTTCCCGACTCGTTTCTTTCGTTCTCTTGATTGACCATTTTTGTTTTTAATAAGAGGATCTGTAGAGCAACTTGCTTAGCATTTTCTGTTAGAACCACTTGTGACTTGTTTGTCTATCTACATGTATTGGGGAGGAGGAGCGACCGTGACGCCCGAAGCGGTTAACTTTAGAACTACACGGATGGGGACAACAAATATAATGGCTCAGCGCTCGGCCGACATAACCGAACGCGGCGTCAGCGTTCGGCTGGAGTTCGTGTTCTCCGGTGAGCGGGAGGAGAGGCTCTTCTGTTTCCACTCCGGCCTGCATGAACAATGCAGCATGCACGGTCCCAGCTCAGCACAAAAGCCGAAGTGGGTCAAGCCAACACCACCTAGACAGAAGGCCTCCACACGCGTCATCATAGTCAGATCGATCGAGGCGAGAGATTGGGCACGAGTGCTGCGTGAGTGTTCGGCTGCGGCTCGTGGCCAATCAGCGCGTCGAAGGTCGGGCTCGGGTCCAATAGCCGACCGGGCGCGATCCGACTGTGATGACGTTTCATAGAAGAAGAGGAAACCATGCGGAGGCCTTCTGTCTATGTGGTGTTGGTCAAGCTCGCATTCTCTGAGGATAGATCGGCACTTAACGTCGCTTCGTCGATTGTTAGTATTTTTTACATTAAACTGTGCCCCGCGCTCTATTGTAGGAGATGATATATGGACATGCCCATAAGGCCTGTGGGCATGTGTTGTGTTGAGTAAACACCGAGTGGTGGGGAAAACAAACGGGTCAGAGCGCCCCCTATAGTTCGATCTCCTGCCCAATACCGTAGCCGTCCTTGACGTCGTTTTTACTCAACAGACGTCCAGTGGATTGTTGGCAACCCCTGTCGCTCCGGTCGTTGCGCGTCTGTGCTTGGTCTGTTCTGATTGGTCTCCTGTGACCAGTGGGTCGTCGGCGTAGTAGGCGTCGTTGGTGGACACTAAGGTGACCGTTCCGAGTTCGTAATTTTTGGTATGGGCTGTCACGTGAAGTTGACTTGGTCTCACGAGGTATTGCCTAAGAGAGCTTATGATGTATTACGTTGTTTCCATAAGAACTGAATTTTTTCGTCGATTGTCTTCGATTTTGTCACCCGCTGATTGGTTAGTTGAGTTTCAAACTTCAGCATTCACCGATGCCTCACGATGCGGTCGTTTAGTTTTATGACGTAACTGAATTCTTCAAGTTCTTCAGTGGGTATGAATGGCTCAATGGTATCGTCCAGGTACTTTGGTTGACATTCACAGTTTTTTAACATCTCGATGATTTCGTTAAGTTGCCGGCCTCTCGTTGTCTCCGACAAGGTATCCTCAAGATTATCAAGATTTTTAGAGAGATTGGTAATCTGCGTGCGCAATGCAGTTATTTGCTGAGAAGGCGTTCGATGTGTGCATCGTTGAGGGTGATATTGATTTGGCCGCCTGCGTTGCATTGATCTTGTTCATCTTGCCGGTCGATCGTTGGTGCGTTGGCTGTTGTAACGTACCTTTCATTGAGATGTCCAGACAGAGGGCTTAACGAAGCATCGGCATCATGTTCTAAGAACGGCTGACTTTACGCGTTTATGTACAGATATTTACATGATAAATAACTGTCCGGCATATTCCGTTTACGGCCATGCCTCGATCTTCCATCTCGTGCCTTCTTTCCCTCGGGATCCCGCTTTTACTTCCTCTTTGTCGGGATGTCCGCTTCCACATCATAAGTTTCAGCAGTTTTGTTGACAACCGACGGGGGATCGGTGGCCGAGTGGGCTAGCGCACACCAGCTCGGAGCATGAGGAGCGAAAGCTCGCGCTGCAGAACCCAGGGATCCTGAGCTCAACCCCCACCCTGCCCGTTTCGATCTGGATGAGCAGCGTACCGGCGTGCGGTCGTGTATCACTACTGCATGGTGCACGTTACCCCAGGCTAGCGGCTCTACTGCACTGGCTAAAGTGCTCATCTACAGTGCATGGGTAACAATGTCGCCATGTTCTGCCAGACTAAACTCCTGCTGCATAAACAACTAACGACTAATTTGTATGTTGGCTGACATTCGTACACTTGTTTTTCTCTTCAGAAGGGGGCTCGTCTTCCTCCGTGCACCAAATCATCGGCACTCCTAAACTGAACTGATAACGCTCATAAAGTCCATGTGACAGTCTCGCATTTGCCGTATTTTTCCTGATTCTTGTGAACCCCATATAAATAAGGACTTTTGCTACAGCGAGCTCAAAACAGTCTGACAATAAAGAACCACTGCGTCTCTGGCAGACGTTTATCATACATGTTCGCCAGACACTTCAACGAACGGCAGCTTGTTTTCGGCGCGCAGTTTTCAACCTAATCGTCAAAAGCGCGTGTCCGCAGTAGGTGCCACAAAATTCTTTCGCTCACAGAACAATAGTTGAATCCTTTTTTTACCTCGAAAGTCTCTCATTCTATACTAGATTCATCACTATCCCCGTCCACTGCAGTCTCATTTGATCGTCACGTTGTGAACAAAATACCCGACTGCAACGATGAAAGTCCTTAAAGAACAAGCAAAAAAAAAAAAAAGCCTCGGCGTCTTTGTCTTTTATTCCTCTCTGGTTTCTCCTCGAGTGACGCGCGCAGCGGTTCCCTGACAGAGACGGACGGGTGACGGAGGCGAAAAACCGTTGCTCGCTAGAGCGTCGCAATTTCCTGCGCTCTTTATTATTATTATTTTTTTTTAATACGATTGCCATCCATGCCACGCCGCGACCCGAGCACTCACAACATCGACGACGAGCCCCGGCAACGACGCCCTCTGGTTTCCGCCTGACTCTATTTTGATATTTTCCCGTTCTCCTTTGCATCCGGCGGCGACGCCGCGCAGTTTGGTGACGCCCATTGCTCGAGCCGGGGAGCTGCGGCGACGGGGCGCTGAGGAGGTCTGCCACACCGGGATTGGGCTGTCCTGGTCCCCCGCACCCCCACCCCAGCTTTCGATGACCGGTGACCGACAGCGATGAGCGACCACGACGACGTTCCGGGAACACCGGATCCTCACGCCCCGTCGTCCGAGAGAACGGGTGAGCCATTCATCCACTCTTCGGCTGTTGTTGGACCATCAGCCGCATCGCGGCACCGTGGCGTGGAGGATAGAGTTGCGGGGATGGATGACTCCTGACGCGAAGCTTGCTAGGAAAGTGATGCTCATCTTTAGTGAGCTGTCAAGTTGCCCTCTCCTTTCTTTTCGCTTTCCTCCCCAGCTTTCTTTTTGCTTCTTTTCGGTTTCCCGGCCTCGGAACGGTGACACACGTGCCGGTCTTTTTCACGCCATGTTTTCATACCCGTTGGGTCATCTTGATATGAAAAAGACACGTCCCTCAATATCAGTCCTACATCTTTCTTTTTTTTTTCTATAAAATGCAAAAAGCATGCTTTTTGTATTGATGTCCTCAGTTTTATGACTTGTTTTTATATAAAACAAAAAAGCTCGCTTCTTGTTTTTGTTTTTTTTATATATATGTATAGGCTAGCTATTGTTTTAGGACAGTAAATAATAGGCGCCTCGGTCGACTGCTATTCCGCGCGGCTGAAGGTCAACAGGGGCAACTTTGGGGCGGTTTTAGCCACCGAGCCATTGGACACTAGCACTGCGTCACGGTTCGGAAAAGAGCTAGGATATTCTCACTCGAGATCGGGTCTAATAATTGCGACCAGGGGCTGTCTCAGAGTTGCAAAAATACCACATAAAATGGACCGCCTGTCAAACCAAACTTCATTGTCCGGTGGGTATAAGGCTGTATGAATACTGCTTCGAGTTGAATAGCGGAAGTGTCATCTTTATCTTTAACACTGTAAGAAGATCCGGGGTGTTCTGACTTTTCCTGTTAAGGTTATGAATAGCGCAGAGCTATTTGATTCAAACCGCCACTATTCACTATACTTCGTTTCAGCTTCGGTCCGAGCGCGGCCGATGCTATGAGCCGAAGAGCCAATCAAATAGCGAAAGAGGCACAACGTCAGGGCGTGCTCTCTGCAGTTGATAGGACCAGCCGGTATTCGCCGTCTCCCTGTGCGTGCTCCTCCGCCGGCTAGTCTTATCAAGCGCAGAGAGCACGTCATGACGCTGCGCTTTTTGCGCTGTTTGATTGGCCCTTCGGCTCATAACATCGGCCGCGCTCGGACCGAAGCTGAAACGAAGTATAACCCCTTATGTCCGGACGCAGCAGACGCCGCGAGTCGATGGAACCAATCAGACAGCTTTAAAAGTGGAACGTCATTGTTTTCGTCATGTTTCTGTACGTGTCCTATCATCGCTAATCCAGTGCTGTAGGGGGAGTGCCCAGTGACTTGCGCTTTTAGTATATACCTTTTTTATTGACCCTCATCCCCAGCCACAAAGTGTAACATATCCCATAAGGGGAGAGGGGGAGGGGGCGAAGAAAAACAAGACATTACAACCTTAACTAAAAATGCATAGAAGAGGCAGAAAAAGGAGGATTGACATAGTAATAAAAACCTGAACATCTTTCAGTTGCCTGTCAAAGGCAGAACAATGTCTTCGCCCGTACCTGAAGTTCTATGATTCAAGAAGGTGACGACTACACGCAAAAGAAGTGTATATGTTCGTAATTGTACATGCTTATGCCTTCGACTTCGGCCGGACATATTATGAGACGAAGTACAGCGTAGACATAAAAAGTTGAGTAGACTACGTGGAAGGATGCAACGGGAACAAGCCCATTCCCACACACCAGGACATAATCCTAAATTCACGTCGTATAGAGGAGTTATTGCATTTCAAATGTCTCGGTGCTGTATTTTTCTCCGACATGTTATGGAAAAATCATTTTAACCACTTACTAACAAAAGTAGCTCAAATTACAGGCGTCTTTATAATTCATTTATAGAGCGCAGCTCTTAGGCGCCCGTTTTTGGCTTGAGCGATGTCGCCGTCGGCCTAACCGCGGGTTGTATTATGGGACATTTCCCATGATGACGTCACACCTGACGTTACGTGTGACATCATGAGGGTCACGAGTGACGTCACGAGGATCACTAGGGTCTCGAGTGACGTAACGAAGGTGACGACCTTCACAGTGAAGGTCATGACCTTCTCCTGATCTTTGTGACGTCATGAAGGTCACGAGGCCTTCACGAGTAACGTCACGAGGGTCACTAGAGTCACGAGTGACGTCACATGTGACGTCACCCTCGTAACGTGACACGGTGCCTAAATATAGCGGAGAAATTTCCCGCTCAATTTAGCGGGGAAATTTCCCCGCTAAATTTAGCGGAAAACTTTCACCTCTAAATTTAGCGAAAAATTTCCCCGCTAAATTTAGCTGAAAAATTTCCCCGCTAAATTTAGCGGGAATTTGTTCCCCTATATTTAGCAGAAATTTGGCGAAAATTTCCCGCTAAGTAGGTGGGGAGCAGGAGAGGAGGGGGGAAGGGTACGGAGGGGGAGGAGGGGCATACCCTCCCCTCTTCCTCCTGAAGACTTGCGCTCTACAGAGAACTTTCTTTTTTTTTAAATTTTGGTGGCAAGTAGCGCGCTCAGTGGTGTTCGTGGTCTGTCAACTTGTCCGTCGTATCTTAGCACTTTTATCCGACAGAATATAGCGTAGAATGTTCCGATAATCTCCTTCTACGAGCTTCCCTATTTGTCTACTGGGCCTCGTGACGCGTTTTGGGCATGCGCATGAGCTCTCTTCTGCGAAATATCAGACCTCGGTTTAGTGACTCGACATTGTTCGCCCGGGAGATAACCGATGGAACGGCGTATAAGTCCAGCGCAGAACGCCGCTCAATCTCAAAACGTCGCGATGACACAATGGCGCACCTCGCTCTCATAACAGGTAGTTGGTCTGCAGCTTTTCAACAGCGCGGAGTTTGAATAGACCTTTGCGTTTGTTTCACCCCTGTCGACTCGAAGAGAAAAGTTGCCACGTTGTGTCACGAACTCGACCGCCTTCAGATTGATTCGTCTTCGTCACAAGTCCCGACAAATGTCCGAGAGTTCCAAGTTACGCCGGCTACACCAAAAATAACGCTGACGCTTTGTTTGTCCTCTCGTGAAACGTAACGGTATTTAATGTCACTGTTTGGTTCGGGACTGCGAAGAGGCTTTCACCGCCTGACGTTGACGGACTATTGCTAGACGTTAAAGTATAACGCGACCAGAAGTGTACGCTGCACGCCTCAAGACCGCAAACAAGTTTCCACGACTACTTCCTGCGTGTGGGGTTTCGTAAAAATTCTCCGCGCCACAAAAGCGGAAGTTGGACTTAGTTCCGTCGTCGACTGCTACCGCGAGCTGCACTGCAGGCGGTATTGCTTAACAAGTTCCTCATTCGCTAGGCTTCAAGTTAGGCAATCTATCGCCCTCCGCAGTTTTTGATATATTATCCCCCCCCCCCCCCCCACATCTTTAATTATCTACGACCCTATCAAAACCAGATGGTGAGTTGTCTTCCCTCATTTCATTGAAGGGTGTTTCGGTTTGTAAGTTCCGCGTTCACTACAGGCAACTCACTCTTGGAGTACGTGTTCTATAATATGCGCTGTCAGTAATGTAGCTCTATTTTTTTTTTCCATAAAGCTGCGTTTGCGATATGGTGTGTTGAAACTGGATGTTTTGCCGCTTCGACATGCGACGAGTCAGAGGTTGGCATAGAACCAAGCACGTAGAACCCGGACATTTTTTTTTTTTTTTTTTCCGAGACAAATACAACGAAGGCGGAAGCTGATTGCGACGATTACTCCGCTCGCAAGGTGACGTGGCGTTCGCGACAAAACTATATGTGGCGCACAGTTATTCATGAGTCCCTGACAGGGGTGTCATTCCCTCCTAATATGGCGAATATACCGTCGCTCATAGTTGTTTGCTTATTATTTTAAATGTGAATCACTACGAAAACTTTTCATGTTAAACAAATTACTAGGATGGCATGGAAGGCATAATTGCGGTTTTTATACAATATACGATTCAGTTTGTGTTGCATCCCTAGTAAAAACAATAATATGAATGCGTCAGTTAATGATCCTCCCAGTGGGTGTGGGAGGCAGGTTCCGCTTCGATGGTCTGGAGCGTGGTGGCACGAACGTCGCTGAGTGACGGGTCGACTCACTGCTTGAATAGAACTATGTGCATTTATTTACACTCTAGTTACAAGTCCCAACTTGGGAAACCATCCTGCCTCGTCTAAAGTCTCGACCCCCGTCCCCAATTTCTCTCCATCAAATCCAAAGTCCGAATCCCTCAAAATCCTCTCCGCGCTCTTTTTGTAGGTCCGTAGGGGCCTCCTTTCCCCTCAGGAACCGACCAATCTCTTCAAATTCCGCCACTCACACGTGGTACACTGTTCTCCAATGGTCGGCGAGCTGTCATCCTGGCGGCCTAACGGTCAAACCTAAATTCCTCGTAGAGTTGTTCTCTGCAATTTTCCCAGCCTGACTGGCGCCAACCGCTAAGTTATTGCATCGGGCAAAAAGCGACAATTTTATACAAAGCGGCAAAACCCTCTGCATACGCGCACATTCGGTTATAAGCCACAAGCATCTTCCAGCGCGGGCTCTTTCGGTCCCGGTCCGAGCAGACTCCTGAAACCTGAGACGCTTCTTAACGACCGGCGGGGGGACCGCTCCCGCGTCGCGGCCGCTCTGGCCCAGCCGACCCAAACGTAGAAAGCTAAAAAAACACAATGCCGACGAAGCTCTGGAAAGATACACTTTCCTAACCAAAAGAAAACACCTTAATTAATAAGCATGACTCCTAAATACTTAACTCCTCCCCACCAAGACTGTTGCGTTGACACTTGATGTAAGCGCAACATAAATTCCTTCCCCGAATATCGCACTGGCAATTATTCGAACCAACTACTTGGCCCACAGTTAACCAAAAGCAACAACGTCAACATCACGCTCTAAAAGTTCACCAATTGATCATCCGTAAATGTGAACACAATCAAACGGCACCGATAAAAATAAGAAAATGGTTACAATTCCAAAACCAGAAACACTAAAACGGCTGCCGCAGGCAAAACATCCGGGCACAGACCACAATGGGTGCACAAATAAA